CCAGAAGTGGCAGACTACCTACAGGACCCCAAGCAGGCCAGTGTGAGCACAGCCAGGCATCTGCACGCGATGCAGGGAGCCAAGAAATGAGATGAGACACACGGGGCTGGGTGGGGTCCCAGCTGGGCACAGGATGCTCCAGCCCCACCTAAGCCTTCTTACAGAGGTTCTCTTCCTCAGAGGAGAAGGACAGACCAGGCCCCCAAAGGAATCAGAAACACATGCTTCAGGGACCACAGCAGGCAGGGAGCAGAGTTCAAGTTCACTTGTTAACAAGAGCACACTATCATAAGTATAACACTCATATGCACAGGTAAATGTACACATACATGCACATCATAACACATATTCATGAAATGAATGCATTCATGAGACAAGGACCCGTATCAAGAAGCAACACTGTGGGACAGGCACTGTGGAACAGCGGGTTAAACCATCAGCTGCGACACCAGCATCCCTGATCAGAGTGCTGGTTCAAGTCCCAGCTGCTCCACTTCTGATCCAGCTCTCTGCTATTGCACCTGGGAAGGCAGCAGAGGATGGCCCAATAACCTGGGCCTCTGCCACCCACAGGAGAGACCTGGAGTTCCAGGCTCCTGGCTTCCCCCAGGCCCAGCCCTGACTGTTGTGGTTGTTTATGGAGTGAACCACTGGATGGAAGATGATATCTATCTCTCTCTCTCTCTCTCTCTCTGCCTTTCAAATAAATAAAACTTTTTAAAAAAAGAAACCACTCTACCTACACCCCAGAAATCTCCTCCTTCCTTCTTTCCGGTAACCAAGGATAAACCCCATTCCCACTTCTAGCACCGTCGATTCATTCTGCTGGTTTTGAACTTGACACCAATGGAGTTACACAGTGTGGATCGTCTCGAGTCTGACTTCCTTTGCTCTACGTGTGCGTGAGCTTCAGCCATCACGACCGTCCCTGCTGATGCTTTCCCATGCACACTGAACCCCTCAGTTCTCAAACCCATGGTCACATCCTCAGAGCAGCCTTCTCTGACAACCCAGTCTAAATACATGGCCCATTTTACTCAGAGAACCCTGTTTTACCCACCCATAGCCCTCTACACACCTTATGATAACATATCCATTTGCGTTTGTGTGTTTAGTGCCTTTTTCTCCAAGAGATCATGGACTGAGTGAGGACAGGCCATAGGATTGCCTTGGACAGTGCCTGGCACACAGTAAGTCCTCGTAACACAGTAGGCCCGCCTTACCTGTGGTTTTACTTTCCACAGTTTTGGTTTCCCATGGTCATCTGCAATCTAGAAATATTAAATTAAGAGCTGTAGTGGAGCTGGTGCTGTGGCCAAAGCGAGTTAAAGCCCTGGCCTGAAGCACCAGCATCCCATAAAGGTGCCAGTTCTAGTCCTGGCTGCTCCTCTTCCCATCCAGCTCTCTGCTATGGCCTGGGAAAGCAGTAAGAGATGGCCCAAGTCCTTCTGCTCCTGCACCCACGTGGGAGACCTGGAGGAAGCTCCTGGCTCCTGGCTTTGGATCAGTGCAGCTCTGGCTATTGCCGCCATCTGGGAAATGAACCAGTGGATGGAAGACCTCTTTCTCTCTCTCTCTCTCTCTCTCTCTCTCTCTCTCTCTGTGTGTGTGTGTGTGTGTGTGTGTGTGTCTGCCTCTCTGTAGCTCTGCCTTTCAAATAAAATAAATAAATCTTTTTTTAAAAAAATGACAAAGGAAGAGTTCTTGACTCAAGGAAACAAAAGAAAATCCTAGATCTTTTTTTTTAAAGATTTATTTATTTATTTGAAAGTCAGAGTTACACAGAGAGAGAAGGAGAGGCAGAGAGAAAAGTCTTTCCTCCCCTGGTTCACTCCCCAGTTGGCCACAACAGCCGGAGCTGCACCATCTGAAGCCAGGAGCCAGGAGCTTCCTTTGGGTTTCCCACGCCGGTACAGGGGCCCAAGGAGTTGGGTCATCTTCTACTGCTTTCCCAGGCCATAGCAGAGAGCTGGATCAGAAGTGGAGCAGCTGGGACTCGAATAGGCACCCATATGGGATGCTGGCACTGCAGGTGGCAGCTTTACCTGCTACATCACAGTGCCAGCCCCGAAAATCTTAAATCTCACACTGCTGTTGCTAAGATCCACAATATGAACAAATCTTCTATCCATGCAATTGTAAAGAAGGAAAAAGAAATTTTTGCTTGCTTTGCTGTTGCACTCCTGACTGTGAAAGTTGTAGGCCCAGTGCTTAGTCAGGATAGAAAGAGCATTAAATTATAAGGCTCTGTATTATTTGTGGTTTGGTGCACCTGGTGGCGGGGGAGGTGGGGTGTCATGGGATCTGTCCCCATAGGTAAAGGGGACTAGGCAGGCACCTGAAGGCAGCTGTAGTTCCAGTCTGTTCTGTGGCCCCAGGAGAGACCCTTCTCTCTGAGCCTGTTTCCACTGTCAGATGAGGGGCCTAGAAGAGAGGACCCTAAAGACCCTTGCAGCTCATCTGATGTCTATACCTCTGCTGCCTCTTCCCCACCCAGGACTCCCCAGGCTGGGAGCTGCATGGGGCCTTCACGGCCTGTTGCAAGCAGACGACCAGAAAACATGAGGTCTCTTCCAGAGTGCGTGATGCACAGAGTAGGGAGAGACAAGGCTATTGAAGGAATATGACAAGAATTCTCTAGGAAACTGCTTCCACTTGCTTCTTAGAAAAATTATTTGGGGGCTGGAGCTGTGGAGCAGCAGGTTGAAGCCCCAGCCTGCAGCACCAGCATGCCATGAGGCACCGGTCAAGTCCTGGATTCTCTACTTCCGATCCAGCTCTCTGCTGTGGCCTGGGAAAGCAGTAGAAAATGGCCCAAGTCCTTGAGCCCCTGCACCCACGTGGGAGACCCAGAAGAAGCTCCTGGCTTCAGATCAGTTCAGCTCTGGCCATTGCAGTCATTTGTAGTGTGAACCAGTGGATGGAAGACTTCTCTCTCTGTCTCTACCTCTCTCTATAACTCTGTCTTTTAAGTAAGTAAAATAAAACCTTAAAAAAAAAAAAGAAAAATTATTTGAAAGGCAGAGTGACAAAGAGAGAGAACAAAGAGGGAGATCAATCTTCCATCTGCTTGTTCACTCCCCCAAATGCCCGTTACTAGCCAGGGCTGGGCCAGGCCAAAGCCAGGAGCCAGAAACTCCATCTGGGTCTCCCACATGAGTGGCGGGAACCCAAGTATTGGGCCATCACCTGCTGCTGCCTCCCAGGTGCCTTAGCAGCAAGCTGGATTGAAACACAGAGTAGCCAGGACTTGAGCCAGGCACTAGAACACATCACATGGGTATCCTAACCCACGGCACCACAACACCTACCCCTCTAACTGCCTTCTTGAGAGCTCCTGCCTCATCCAACTTCTCAGTCTCTCCACCCAGCCACATACGACTTCAACCCAACTCTATCCCTGTTGTGCATGCCAGGCTGGGCCCCAGGACACAGGAACTGTGTCTTCCTCATCTTCATGCCCTTGGCGCTTAGCACAGACCCCTACACGCAGCAAGGGGTCAAGGTGAGCACCAACTCGAATGCCAAGGGCTGGCCAAGGGCTGTTGCTCAGGATGCTTTTCCAGTGGTGTCATAAAACAGGAGACGAACCTAGGGGTCAAGAGAGCTGGGTTCCCATTCGGAGTCTCCAACTGACTACCCCCAGCCTCTGGGCCCCTGTCCTTCCAGCCCCGTCACTGGGCCCCGGATTGGCAGGGGCAGTCCGTCTCTCAGAGCAGACGCTCTGGCATCTCTGTAGTGGCTGGCTCTCCCGCTCAGCCAGCCAATCAGGGCAGACACGCCCAACATGTGAAGCACCTGCTGCCTCCCACGCTCCTTGGAATAAGGGTCCTTTGAAACTCTGTTTTGTCTTTAAAAACAAAAGAAAGTAAAAGAACGAGCCCTGACCCAGGAGTTCTATGAGGGGAGAGGCCTCCTGTTCTACCTGCTGGATACAGTAGATCCCTAGGCTGCACAGTTTTCACCCTGCTGGCTGTGGGAAGGGGTGAGGCTGGATTCTGCTGAGTACATGTGAGTGTGCAAACGTAAGCATGACAGGTGTGCAGGTGCCAACGGGACAGGCCAGGACCCTGGCTGTGCCACTCGCTGGCTCTGCAATTTTGGAATTCTTACTTTTTTGGACCACTGTTTTCTGGACTTGAAAATGAGCGTACAAATCATTCCTAGCTCACCCACTGCTCTGAGAATCACAGTTTAGGACTGGGGTTTCGTAATCACTAAAACACCATCTAAATACTAGCCGCTGTGAGAATGGAAGGCAAGAGGAAAGCTTCAGAAAATCTTAATTCCTCCCCAAATAATATGAGGGCACTTCAAAAAGTACATGCAAAAACACAGAATTTAAAAGACAAGCTTATTTTTGGTGCAAAACATTTTGAAATTCACAATAGTTTTTTTCATTTAAGAAGTTCATGGAAACTTTTCCATAGTATGAGAATTCTATGCATGGATTTCAAAAACGTTTTTGCACCTAAATAAACTTGTCTTTTCATTCCATTTCCCATGAACTTTCCCAAGTCCCCTTGTAACCATTTCAGAACCGGGAGCGCAGCTCTGCCTGCATTGTGGGGCTGGCAAACCTGGAACTGCCCCAAGGAACTTGGATCTCAGGCTCGGGTGGCTGACTGCTCAGGGCAAATCCACTTTCAGGAGGATTACTGCACCTCCCAGTCGGGCTCTGAGCCTCCAAAACAAACTCCTGGGCACCACGGGACTCGCCAAGGCCACCTGGGGAGGGCTTTGTGTGCAAAGTAACAGGCAACCAGGAAGCAACAAGATGGGCTGCACTGACAACACACATCTCGACAGTGCTGGGCCCTTCCTTCCAGAGAGACGACTCTCTGCAGAGTCATCCGAGTTCTAGAACTCTGCCTGGGTTCTAGAACATCCGACTTGTCCTGAGAGGGGCACAGGGCCTACACCGCCGAGTGACAACTGCAGCAGGAGCCGTGCTGCCTGGGCTCCGTCTCGCGTCCGCTCTACCTCTCGCGGTCTCTCACCTCCCCAGCTCCTCTCCTATGTCGTAGAAGTCCTCCACCTTCTGCTGTTTGAACGTCTCCATGTTTGGGCTCCTCATTGAGGCCTGAGCCAGACGACCCTGCAATGGGAAGAAGCCCGAGGTTAGCACACATGCAAACGAGCACACACCTAAGGGTCTGGAGAGATCCCAGCCTCACTATGTAGGAGATGCCAACCTCAACCTGGTCCAGCCTGGCTGTTGTAGACATTTGAAGACTGAACCAACAGAAGTTCTCTCTCTCTTTCTCTCCCTCTCTCTCTCTGTCTCCCTCTCTCTCCCTCTCAAATAAAAGTATAAAATCTAACAAGAGGGGCCGGCACTGTGGCATAGAGGGTAAAGCTGCTGCCTGCAGTGTGGGCATCCCATAAGGGCACCGGTTTGAGTCCCGGCTGCTCCACTTCTGATCCAGCTCTCTGCTAAGGCCTGGGAAAGCAGTAGAAGATGGCCCAAGTCCTTGGGCCCCTGCACCCACGTGGGAGACCCAGAAGAGGCTCCTGGCTCCTGGCTTCAGGTCGGCCCATCTCCGCCCGTTGTGGACACCTGGGGAGTGAACCAGCAGATAGAAGAGCTCCCTCTGTATCTGTGTCTCTGCCTTGCACTAATTCTGCCTATAAAATAAATAAATAAATCACTAAAAAAATCTATCAAGAAAAGAGGAAGTTGTGATAAAAAAAAAACTGATTTTTGAGTCAGAAATCCTGGGTTCAAGTTCCAATTTGGCTTGGGTAAGTCATTTCAGCTGCCAAAGACTTAGCTTCTTCGTCCATAACATGGAGCAAATATTGTAACAATCAACTTCACGTCATGGAATTCTTTTGGAGACCATAAAATGCTATCAAAAGGTAAGGGATGATCGTGACCTCAGCTCCCTCGGGAAGTGTGCCACCCAACTGCGAGTCTGAGCTGACCTGCACACTCTCCCTGTCATCTCCCCGAGGAAAAGAGGGGTGGGAAATGGTGTGACAAAGTACAGCGGGCACCAGGAGTCGGGAGCCTGGGGAGCTGGCTCCAGCTTTGCCCACAACCAGCTCTGCGACCGCATCTCATGTCAGAGGGGCCTCAGTTTCCTCATCTGTGACATGGAGCTGCCCTGCCTGCCCAGGACACAGCAGTGAGAGTCACAGGACAACTCTGAGCCACGGCGGGGGTGGGGGGGCATCACCACTGCATCCGAAGAGACTGCACCTTCTCCTGGGATCCCCCTTCCTGGAGCAGCTCACCTACTCCTAGGAAAGACACCCTGGACAGCACCTGCAGCGCAGGGCCCAGAGCGCAGTCTGCAGATCACAAAGATAAGCCCAGCTACCTGTGCACGCGTCTTCCTTGGCAAAGGCCTCCCAGAGCTCTTTTTGCCTGGCCTGGGTAGCTTCTCCTCCACCTGCCAATCAGATACCAGCCACTCCCGGGCTCCAAAATCCGCCTCAGACTGTTTCCAGCAGACTGGGTGGAGGCACCGTTACTTAATGCCAGTGTCAGCAACACCAAGCAGCCAGGGCTGTTCTAGCTCTCAGAGTCCTGTGCATTTCACCCTCCCTCCTCACCCACGCCCCCTGCAAGCCACAGCTGCATCACCAACAGGCCACCGCCCCCCTCCCCTCTATGGAAGTCCACCGCCCTAAGACCCCTGGCCGAGTTGGCCCGGCTCTCCTGCCCATCAGCAACCCACCATGCTCTATCACGCACCTCCTCTCTGCTAGGTCTCCGCTCTGCGCACGGCCAGGCCCAGCAGCCCAGCTCTGAACTAGTTTGGGCGTGTGCTACCTCTGTGACCCCAGGATGTTGGTGCCCATTCTGGGCCGCAGCCCCCTCCTCTGTACACAGGGATGATGCTTTCTCTATGACCAGCTGCACACGTCTACGTGGGGACCATTGTGGCGGGGATCTACACTGCAGGGCAAATCCGGAAGATCAGCACGTTGTTGGACGCATCCCAGGCTAAGGTCTGTTTGTACCGCTTCTCATAGCCATTGAGATGACCAGGTTGGAGTTTCTCCTGGCAGGGTTGGCTGGACCAGATTGGGAGCTGGGCCCACCCTCACCCCCCAGCACCCTGACACATCTCCTGAGACTAGCCCAGGGGGACAGTGGCACAGCTGCCTGCCAGCCTCTTTTTGTTATAAATAAATAAATAAATAAATAAATCCTTCCAAATAACCGTTTGGGTCATGTCCTGGGGTAGGGAGGTATGCAGTTGCTAATTTCATGCAGCAAATGCAAGCAGAAAACTCTAAAAAAACATGGGACAGGCACTGTGGCACCACCGGCTGAGATGCCCACATCCCATACCTGAGTGCCTGGTTCTAGGCCCCGTTGCTCCACGTCGAATCCAGCTTTCTGCTAATACATCTGGAAGGCAGCAAATAGTGGCCCAAGTACTTGGGTTCCTGCCACCAATGTGGGGGACCCAGACTCAGTTCCAGGCTCCTGGCTTCAGCCAGGCCCAGCCCTGGCTGTTGCGGGCACTTGGGGAGTGAACCTGCGCATGGAAGATTTCTCTATCTTTCTGTCACTCAGCCTTTCAAACAAATAAGTAAATCTTTGGGAGGGGAAAAAAAAAAAAACTTTAAAAAAATCCCCAAAAAAGCTCAGTTGGCCGTAACCCTGAGCGATCCCATGAACCACTAAGGTCTTCTACTCGGCGAGAGACCGGCTCCACCTGCAATCCAGAGTTGAGCTGGATTCCAAGAAGCCCCAGTTCCCCAGCAAAACGGCGAGTCTCTGCCCTAGGTGCCACCACCTGGATGGCCAGAGACAGGGGGAAGGGAAACCCCCTGGGGACAAACTGGACCCACAGCTTGGCCTCAGCTTAGCTTCCGGCCTGAGCCCCCTCCCCTCATACCCTGGATTCCAGCCAAAGCAGACCCTTCCCATTTCCCCAAAATTTTCACCCCTGCCATACCTCGACTAAAGAAGGGCCCTCTGCATGGCAAGAAGACCCCCTGGAGACCCCTCCCAGCAAAACTGCCTCCTTCCCTGGAGGCCTAAATGCTGCCACCCCTGTGAGGCCACGGGATTCTTTCCCTTCCAAAACCAGAGGGGAGCGCCCCCTGACAATGCTCCTCCTGAATTTTCAGGCTCAGAATTTCTGCCGTTCTGGCTCTGATCAGAATCTACATGTAGCCAGCGCCGCGGCTCACTAGGCTAATCCTCCGCCTTGTGGCGCCGGCACACCGGGTTCTAGTCCTGGTCGGGGAACCGGATTCTGTCCCAGTTGCCCCTCTTCCAGGCCAGCTCTCTGCTGTGGCCAGGGAGTGCAGTGGAGGATGGCCCAAGTGCTTGGGCCCTGCACCCCATGGGAGACCAGGAGAAGCACCTGGCTCCTGCCATCGGATCAGCGCAGTACGCTGGCAGCAGCGCGCTGGCCGCGGCGGCCATTGGAGGGTGAACCAACGGCAAAGGAAGACCTTTCTCTCTCTCTCTCTCTCTCTCTCTCACTGTCCACTCTGCCTGTCAAAAAAAAAAAAAAAAAAAGAATCTACACGTCTATGTCTAACCCACAGGGTGGGCATGCAGACTCCATGGTCACACGGGAATCCTGTGGGAACCCCTGCTCCACCACTTAATACAGTATCCAGGGTAAATTTTCCGAGCTTCAACTCACTTTTGCAGAAAATGAACACAGATGGTGCCTGGCGCTGGGGAGAACGTGAAGCGACTGGGGGCAGGACCCCCAGGGACAACCTCTTAGGAAAATGGTTGGGCAGTTGCTACACACACACCCAGGAGAACTGCATGCAGTGGCCCCATCTGTGAGAATAAGAGCTGGACACTACCAGCGTCATCAGTAGAATGGGATTGATACGTATCCATACCATGGAATCATTACACAACAGAAGGAATTAACAAACTGCTGTTACCTGTAGCAGCATGGGGGAATCTCACAAATATACTATTGAATGACAGATGCCAGAGACAAGACTGTGTGGTTGTATCTGAGCAAAGTTAGCGCATGACACTAGGACCCAAGATAGTGGAGGGGAGGGGGGCAGAGTGTGGCTGGAAGAGATGGGAGGAGGCTCCTGGGTGCTGGCAGTGTTGCTCCTTATCTGGGTGGGTGGTGGTAATATGGACATGAGAAGTAGTACATTCCATTTGCAATCAGCATTGTACATAGTCAGGACGCTGGAGTTGGGGTGTGGGGAGTTACTCTGGTTGCCATGCTGGCACCCCAAATCAGACAATGGTTTGAGCCCCATCTGCTCTGCCTCCAATCCAGCTCCTGGGAAAGCAGCAGAGGGTGGTCTCCCACGTGGGCGACCTGGATGGAGTTCCAGGCTCCTGGCTTCAGCCTGGCCCAGCCCTGGCAGTTGTGGCCACTGGAGGAGTGAATCAGTAGATGGAAGATTGATCTGTGTGTGTGTGTGTATAACGCTGCCTTTAAAACAAATAAATATTTTTAAAAATTAAAATCAAAAAAATTTACATAGTTGAAAAATGAGACTAAAGCTATGTTACTATGAGGTAACACGGCTGAAAGCCTTTAAACACTGCCCTGACAGTCTCAGTGAATGAGGGCAAGCGTTGTGCCACCCTCACCTCCAGACCCTTGCAGGAGCTACTATGCAGCAGGTAAGCATAAATGTAGATGGACTTGGATTTTTTTAAGATTTAGTTATTATTTGAAAGCGTTAGGGCCAGCGCCATGGCTCAACAGGCTAATCCTCCGCCTAGCGGCGCCGGCACACCGGGTTCTAGTCCCGGTCGGGGCGCCAGATTCTGTCCCGGTTGCCCCTCTTCCAGCCCAGCTCTCTGCTATGGCCAGGGAGGGCAGTGGAGGATGGCCCAGGTGCTTGGGCCCTGCACCCCATGGGAGACCAGGAGGAAGCACCTGGCTCCTGCCTTCGGATCAGCGCGGCGCGCCGGCAGCAGCGCGCTGGCCGCGGCGGCCATTGAAGGGTGAACCAACGGCAAAGGAAGACCTTTCTCTCTGTCTCTCTCTCTCACTGTCCACTCTGCCTGTCAAAAATAAAAAATAAAAAAGGGAAAAAAAAAGAAGAAAGCACTACAGAGAAGGAGGGAGAGACAGATCTTTCGTCTACTGGCTCACTTCCCAGATGGCCACAGTGGCCCAAGGCAGGGCTGGGCTGAAGCCAGGAGCCAGGAGCTTCATCTGCATCTCCCATGTGGGTGCAGGGGCCCAAGCACTTGAGCCATCTTCTTTGGCTATGTTCAGGCCATCAGAAGGGAGCTGGATCAGAAGTGGAGCAGCTGGAACTTGAACCAGTGCCCATGTGGGATGCTATGCTTCACATAGCAGCTTTACCCACTATACCACAGTGCCAGCCCCACTGACTTGAATTTTGTACCCTGGTCTTTCTCAAGCTGCCCAGATACCTTATCAGGTGCAGCACCTGATAACAGCTTAATGCCCCTTCCTAATCCTTCTCCCAAGATGAACATGCACTTGCGCAGTTTAGAAACAAGAAGACAAGGAGGACAAACCCTGAAGAGCAATTATGAGGGGCCGGTGCTGTGGTGCAGCAGGTTAGGTCCCCGGCCTGCAGCACCGGCATCCCATGTGGGCGCAGGTTTGAGTCTCTGCTGCTCCACTTCCAATCCAGCTCTCTGCTATGGCCTGGGAAAGCGGTGGAAGATGGCCCAAGGCCTTGGGCCCCTGCACCCACATGGGAGGCCCAGAAGAAGCTACTGGCTTCGGCTCTGCTCTGGCCATTGCGTCATTTGGGAGTGAGCCAGCGGATGGAGGATCTCTCTCTCTCTCTCTCTCTGGCTCTACCTCTCTGTCTTTCAAATAAATAAAATAAATCTTAAAAAAAAAAAAGGAAATTATGGCCACCAGCCATAAGGGAAGGGGCAGCGGGCAGAGGTCTGGCACACAAGGAGAGCGTGGGAGACAAATATCCATGGAGGCAGGCCCCCCTCGAAGGGGCAGAAGTCTCGCCAGCTGTGGCGCCTCTCTGCACCCCCGCTCCCTGCTGGTGCCAGGAGGTGATGCCAGGGGGGTGCCCAGTCGCAACGCGCCTTCTGTGTGGCTTGGTCCCAGAGGGATGCTCTCCTTTGTGGCCCTAAAGAGCTGGGACCACACGGCAGAGGGAGGCACACAGCCAACCCTCTGGCTATCAGCCTCAGTCATTTCTAGGATGATGGAGTCCTTGGAATTCATAGTCCCAGCCCCAACCCCAATACTGGGCAACACCTCAGGGCTTAACACAAATGTCTTAGCACCCCACAGAACGGGGCCACACAGAGCGTCCACACAGGGATTTTTAGACTGTTTCAGGAGCCGCCACAGTGAGATGGGGCCACAGCAGCTCCACGGCACCCATACAGTGTGCTGGGGCTCTGGGTAAGGAATTCATGTGAGACGGAGTTTGAAAACCACTGGTGTCTCAGGCCAGCTGCTCCACTTCCAATCCAGTTCCCTGCTAAGGCACCTGGGAAAGCAGCCAAAGACAGCCCAAGTGTTTGGGTCCCTAAGCTCCTGGCTTCAGCCTGGCCCAGCCCCAGCCATGTGGCCATTTGGGGAGTGAGCCAGCAAATGGAAGATCTATCTCTCTCTGTCTCTCCCTCTCTCTGTGAGTCTCTGTCCTTCAAATAAATAAGTAAAAAAAAAAAAAATTAATGATGCTGTCAGGTCTAACCCACTCATTTTACAAAAGGAGGATACCGAGGCCCACACAAGGGAAGGATCTCACCTACAGCCACAGCGCCAGCCCCTCCAGCTGCGCCTCCCAGGTTTACATTGAGAGTCACCCCACTCCTTCTAGGGCAACCCAGGTTAGGACATCAGCAAGTTCCTGACAGACAGCCTGGAGGAGGTGTCCAGGCCGGGAGGTCACCAGAGGGAACTGGTCACCCATCGTGAGGGAGAGAAACAGGTCCAGGGCCACGCACATCCTTTAGCAATCATCCCACTAGGGCTCTGGGTAGCTGCCAGCAGACTTGGGGGGGGGGTGCAGGGGGGCAGGTGGGGACGCTCCAGACTCCCACCCAGCACAATCCCTGATGAGGACGCTGGGCTCCAAGGAAGGCAGCCCCCTGGCTGAGCGGCCGTGAGAAAAACTTCTCTTGCTCGGAACGGTCCAGCTCCGCCCAGCGGCCGACTTGCTCCCCCATCTAACCCACAGAGGCCTAGGGAGGTAGCGGGGGGCAGTTCAGGTCTCAGTTCCTGCCCACAAGACACCTGTCCCAGCACAGCACACGTCCACCCACATCTGCACACCCCGGGGCATCCCCACCCCAGCCTCCCGGGAAGCCGCTGAGCTACCAGTGGGAGACACGTCGAGTGCAAAAACATATCTTGGAGAGAGGTGATTTGGGGGAAAGTATCTGTGACCAGGACAAGGTGCCCATGGTCCTCAGCCCACAGGACTCGCCCAGCAATAATACCCTCCACAAAGGCAGCCAGGAAACAGCGCCAGAAAGCAGAGCAGCAGCCCCCAGCGAACCGGCGCTGCATTCTGGTGAGCCGGTGTCAGGCGCTGTGCCCCCACCTGACGGCGCCCGCCAGCTAAGCGTCCTCTCTCCACCAGCGAACACCCTCTCCCCCCTCTTCTTCTCCTGGGCCAGGCGGGAGGACTCGTTTCCACCTTGCAGAGTTACCGCTAGGGTTAGGGAGACGGTGCCTGTCCCGAGTCGCAGCCGGTTGTCCACAGCGTCCTCCCGAGCCCTTCAACCCTGGCCTGCATCAAGGCCTGTCGGCTGCCCCAGCGCACTCTCGCTCTGCCCCGGGGACCAGGGCTCCCGCAGGCGAGGACCAAGCCACACAGAAGGCGCGTTGCGACTGGGCACCCCCCTGGCATCACCTCCTGGCGCCAGCGGGGAGCTGGGGTGCAGAGAGGCGCCACAGCTGGCAAGACTTCTGCCCCTTCGAGGGGGGCCTGCCTCCATGGATATTTGTCTCCCACGCTCTCCTCGGGAGCCAGACCTCTGTCCGCCGCCCCTTCCCGTCTCCCGGGTCAAAGTGCCAGGCTCCCAAGAGCGCCCTGGCAGATCCCGCGTCCGGGGGCCGGCCACAGTGTCCATGGTCACGGCCGGCCATACCCGGGGTCGGCGGGTCCGGGAGCCACAAGAGAGCGCCCCGGAGCTCCGTGCCCCGCCAGCCTCGGTACCCCCTGAACCGTTGCAGTCGGGCAGCGCGCCCCGTCCAGCCCGTCGAGCCCGCAAGCGCACACTACTTACAGCGGGAGGTTGCGTTGCGGCAGCCGCGGCCGGCAAGGGGTGCGCGGTGCGCAGCTCCACTCTCTGCTGCGCGCCCGGCGCCCGTCAGTGGAGCCGCGCAGGAGCCAGGGGGCGGAGCGGCCGGTCCTGTCCCAGGCGCCGGCTGGAGGCGCTCCGGTTGGCCCCGGCCCGGGGCTCGAGGCGCCCCCTGCTGGGAGCCCCCTGCGGACAGCCCCGGGGTGAGGGCCGAGAGCTTCCAGCCTGGTGGAGCCGCCAGTGGCGAGACCCTATCCCCTTGCCCTCCATACTCCGTGCGTGCGGGCGGAAATCCCATCAGGGAACAGACCGCTTCCTTCCTCCGGGCCAGGATATATCCTGACACCGCACAGATCCCCTGGGAGCCCCAGACCCAAGACATAGTGCAGGGTGCAAGCCCTGGCGCTGTTGGCTGATTGTAACTCCCCTATCACCAGGAAGCCATCCCTAATCAAGGACCTGGAAGAGGACTCCTGCTGTCTTCGTCCTGCCGGACCATCCCAGAGGAAAACAGGAATGAGTACGGAGGGGGCGATGGGAGGAAGGAAGGGGAGCCAGACCGATGCCCCCTTACTGTTTGGGGCACGGAAACGCAGAGCCTCGCCGGAGCTCCCATCCCGGAGTCACCCACCCGGCCATCCCAGGGAACAACAGATCCAGCCAGGCTCCTTCCACCTGGTGCAAAGCCCTGGTCTGCCACCTCCGGTGCGTGGTCGAGGTCGTGGCGCTTTGTTCATCGCTAAAGTGAGAGACACCTGCTTGGAGTAGCTCCTCGTGGAGCTCTCTCCCGCCGAGCTGATGGCGGGGTGGGCAACACGGCACCGGGGGGAGGTCTCCCAGGTGTGCAGCCTCTGCTGCCTCTGCCTTTTGGACACCGAGGACAGATGGACACTGGCCCCGGCTGAACTGTGCAGGGGACAGACTTGACAGGATGATCCCAGCATCCCAGGAGGGCTCAGTCCCTGAGTCCCTCTCCTGAGAGCGCCAAACCACACAGAGCAACATCCAAGATCGGAGGTGAGTGGGAGGCGGACCCACTGGGTCCGGGAGACCCCTCCTCCTCCTCCTTAAACCAACCCTAAACACCACCCACTGCCACCATTTCTGCTTATCTATGGCTAAGTAACTGTCCCAGCCTTGATGGCACAAATCTGTGCACACATGCTGGGAGCCAGGAATTCAGACAAAGCATGGTGAGTGTGGCCTCTCTCTCTGCTCCATGATGTCTGGGACTTTAACTGGGAAGACTGCAGAGGCTGGGGGTGGCTTGAATGGCTGCAGGCTGCAGTCATCTGGAGGAGTCCTCATTCAGAGATGCAGCTCCCGGTGCCATACAGAATCCCAGGCTGGGCCCAGCTGACAGTGCCCCACCGGGAGCCACTCTGTCTCTTTCCCTCTGAGACTCCTGCTTTATACCTGGGCTTTAGCAGCAGTGTCCCCTCCCACGAATCAAAAGTGACATTGTTGGCCTTGGCACCTGGCAAATTAGTCAGAGAACATTGCAGCTGAAAGGGTTACTGTCCATCAACCCCACTGGTCATTCTCCAGATGAGGAATCGGAGGGAGAAGGAGAGAGAGAGAAGTCAGTGGTGCCAAAGTCTCACAGGTGGTGGGATACAATCAGGCTTCCAGGCCAGCGCTGTGACACAGCGGGTTAAAGCCCTGGCCTGAAGCACCGGTATCCCGTGTGGGCGCCAGTTCTAGTCCCAGCTGCTCCACTTCTGATCCAGCTCTCTGCTATGGCCTGGGAAAGCAGTGGAAGATGGCCCAAGTACTTGGGCCCCTGCACCCATGTGGGAGACCCAGAAGAAGCTCCTGGTTCCTGGCTTTGGATTGGCGCAGCTCTGGCCGCTGCGGCCATCTGGGGAGTGAACCAGCGGATGGAAGACCTCTCTCTCTCTGTCTCTACCTCTCTCTCTAACTCTGTCTTTCAAATAAATAAAATAAATCTCAAAAAAAAAAAAAAAAAAAAAGAACCAGGCTTCCTCCAAATTCCGGTGCTTTGCACTGTACCTTCCAAATTGCAGCTGCCCAGGAAGCTCCTATGGAGAGATGCACATTACCCGGGATGGTGAGTGAGTGCATCAGACCCTCCCCTAAGGATGAATACAGGGCTCTGAGTACCCAGCACAGAAACAAGAGAGTGGCAGGCAGAGAATCGGGACCCCAAGGATCGTGGCAACAAAAGAGGTCTACTCTAGAACACAGCCCAGGAAGGTCCGGGCATCAGGAGCTCCGAGTTATGCAGCTAAGCCCCAGGCCTCGCACGGTAGCTGTGGCCGGCCACTTAGAGTCGCCACACCTCTTCCTGGCTTCCACGGCTGCAACCTATGGGCACAGCCTCTTCCCTCCTGGCCTGCACATTCAGCTCTCCTCCCAGGCTGCAGCGTTGCCCGTTCTGGCCTCTGAGCTTTTGTTTGAGCTGTTCCCACCATCACTCCCCTTGTCCATTCTACAAAACCCCATCTGTCCTCCAAGGGCCCTCTGCGGTCTCATGTCTTCCATGGAAACTTCCCTCTCCCGCCCTCTAAATGTCTCTCCTCTGAACCCCAACAAGTCTTGATTCGCACTTCTCTCTCCTTTCTCCTTCCTCTATTTCAGTTGCAATTACTGCCCACTTCTCTTTTCTTCAAGGGCAAGGACAATGTCTTGTCTATCTTTGAACCCATACCGTGCCTGATATCCCAACCCAACAAAAGTGAGTTAAATTGAATGACTGCAGTGTAAAAGTAAGGGACCGTAGCTGCCTTGTTGTCCCCCAAAGACACCCAGGTGCCTGACACTTAGCAGATGCTCAGTAACCACGGGTTGGGTGGATGAATTTGTAACAACTGCCATGAATCATTTTCTTCTAGCATGTGCCTTCCCACGGCTTCGCTTCCTGACTGATTCTATGATCCCTGCCTTTTACAGCTGAGTTAGCTGAAGCCTGGGCAAGCGGACTTACCCAGTGGTCGAGCTGTGATGTGAATCTTGGCTGCCCATCTCTTTAAGTCCAAGCTCTTTCTCCCTGTTCTTAATGGAAACTTCCAAGATTTCTAAAGACATGTAAATGCGGGAGATTCCATCCCTGGCTACACATCAGAATCACCATAGAGTTGTTCTAAAATTCCCTAGGCCTGCACTGTGGCATACTGGGTAAAGCCACTGCCTGCAGTGCCGGCATCCCATATGGGCACCAGTTCATGTCCCGGCTGCTCCACTTCCGATACAGCTCTCTGCTATGGCCTGGGAAAGCAGTGGAAGATGACCCAAGTCCTCAGGGCCCTGCTGTGTGGGAGACCCAGAAGAAGCTCCTGGCTTCGGATCAGCACATCTCCAGCCATTACAGCCATTACAGCCATCTGGGGAGTGAACCAGCAGATGGAAGACTGCTCGCTCGCTCTCTCTCGCTCTCTCTCGCTGCCTCTTTGTAACTCAGCCTTTCAAATAAATAAATAAATCTTTTAAAAAATAAATAAAAAATAAAATTCCCCCAACTCCAACCGCACCCTGCTTCAAGCACATCAGAACCCCTGGGGGTATGTCCTGGGCACCAGCAGTTGTCAGAATTCCCCAGGTGGTTCCCAGGCAGGGGCTGAGGCCTGTTTTGTTCTTGTCACCAACACCCAGGGTAACTAAAGCATCTTCTGTCGGCCCACCCAACTGCAAACCCAGCTGACCACCCACTTAGCATAGGTACTCCAAGCAACTGTGGGACAGGAAGTCAGAAGATCTGGAAGCTTCCACAGGACACCAATGCAAACCCATGGTTAAAGAGATAACCCTGGTGGGCTACAAAAGGCAACGACACTGGTGATAACTCTAATGCCTGCGGTGGAGCCAGGAGAATTTACAAAGTCCGACAACCTCCTGATAAGGAGGTGTGGCGAAGATTAAGATGATGCCTGTGATAGCCAGGATGCCTGACTCAGGGTTAGTGTAGACGTATAGTATGGGCCAGGCATTTGGTGCAGTGATTAATCCACCATGTGGGATGCCCACAGCCCCTATCAGAGAGAGTTCAAGTCCCCACTCCACTCCCATCCAGCATCCTGGAGGCAGCAGGTCATGGCTCAGGTACTTGGGTCCCTGTCACCCATGCAGGAGACTTAGTTGGAGTTCTGGCCTCCTGGTTTCGACCTGACCCAGCCCTGGCTCTGGGGACATTTGGGGAGTGACCCACAGGATGGAAGATTTATGGGTATGTGTGTCTACCTTTCAAAAAAATGAATAAAAAGAATTTTTAAAATATTTATTTATTTGAAAGGCAGAGTTACAGAGAGGGAGAGAGATCTTCCATCTGCTGCTTCACTCTCCACATGGCCACAACAACCAGGGCTAGGCTAGGCCAAAGCCAGGAGCTTCTTCCGGGTCTCCCACATAGGTGCAAGGACCCAAGTGCTTGGGTCATCTTCTGCTGTATTCCCAGGCACATTCACAGGAAGCTGGATCAGAAGTGGAACATCTGGGACCCAACCAGCACCCGTATGGGATACTGGCACTGCAGATAGCAGCTTAACCCACTACACCACAGCGCCAGCTCCAATAAAAAGAATTTTTAAAAGATGCAGAGTAAGGGCTCAATGTGGGGACTCTGACACCAGGCGGCCTGAGTGTGGGTCCCAGCACAGAACTTACTGTGCTGCAGGGCGGGCCACTTGATCTCTCTGGGCCTTGTGAGCCCCACAGCTCAAATGGAGCTAACAATAGCAAGTATGCCATGGGTTATTGTGAGCACTCAGTTATCAATACGTGTGGAAGACTCAGATCAGCGTCAGGCGTGAGCTGCCTGAAAGAGGAAATGGATCTTGCTCACCTTTACACCTCAGCCTGGCCCAGAGCAGATTCTTAGTAAGTGCCAACTGCAGCCTGGAATACAGGCTCTGAGTCAGTGGGCCCAGTGCGCACTCCTTTCTTGGGCTATCAGATCAGGCCAGGGGATCCCTCCCAGGCTGGCGGGCCCCCTGGGTGAGAGGCAGGCAGGAAGCCGCCTCCCATGGGTAGCCTCGTGGCCTGGCTTCTCAGCCCTTCTCCGCCCTGCCCACCCTGCCCTGTGCCCTCTGCTCTCCCACACCCAGCCAGGCAGGGTCAGGGCGTGGAGCAGGCCTGGCAGCCCTTCCTGCTTCTCCTCTCCCAGGAGGTCCCCTGGCTCCTGCAGCTCC